TCTCCAGCACCACTCAAACACCCTGGTGCACCTTTCTGGAAAGCCATTCGTTTTATTACAATACTCAAAGCCTTAAAATATGCATAGCTTCGGGAGCTGAGCCAGCCACCCCATTTTGAGGAATTTATTGTGTGAAAGTCACCCCTGTGCTCAGAGGCTTAGCCACAGACAGGATGGCTGCACAGGGCCACGCTGCAGATAAGAAGCGAGCTGTGTCTCCCCTTCTGCAATTGCAAAGTGGGCTGGTGTGAGGGTTGGGAAACCTGCCATTCATGTACATAAAGCAGTCCACACAGGCCTTCGCACACACTTGAGCTCTATAAAAGTGTCACCTGGTTGAACTGAGGTCTGAGTGAGCCCAGTGTGGCTCTTAGCTACACCACCAACCTGCTACCACGTGTTCTCACGATTTCCAGGTCAGGACAATCGTGAATACCGAAAACAACCAATAGCACAATAACCTAACTAACACACAAGACCTGGTTAAATAGCAATGCAACTATACACAACACTCAAAATAAAGTTGTAAAGTAGTATCATGCACTAATATACATAAGTAGAAAAGGGCTACAAGACTATAATTTTAGTATGATGAAACTTTCTCAAGGTCCACTAGTGTATGGGAAAATATTGTACAAAACACAAAGGCAAGTCCTCCCTCACTTACGAAGTTATACAATGATTTTTGTTTTCTTTTCATCTTTTTTTTTTTAATTTCTTGCAAGGAACACACTGCTTTTGTGGTAAGGAGGAAAAAAAATCCTGATTTTTTTAAGAGAAAATAAAAGCCACATTGGTTTATTTTTCTCTAAAAAGAAGGGTTGTGACTTCCTTTTCTGTAGCCTCTACCACATGTAACACACAATCTTTGGACATAAAAGTCCTGGTCTGGAACAGAATTCCACCCTGGCAATCTTGCTTAACCTTACAGGCTGAAGTGTTCAGTGCGGAGTTTAGAGATGGCCCAGAAAACGTAAGTAAAGGTGGTGAGTGGGGGTGAGGGTGTGTCTGAGGCTGGGGGTGGGAGGGACTGGCCTTCCAGGCTGTGAGAACTCAAGAACTGACCCTGGGGCAAGGAGATGAGATCCTGGAACCCAGCCAAGGATGGTGCATTAAGAGGCAATTACCTGGGGGCGCATGTGGTGGGGTTGACCAGCAAGAGCCCAGCAGCGTCTAGAGGCCACTCTGGCATCTGGGAGCGCTCTTCAGTTTGAGCTAAAGAACTTCCTACCAGAGGCTTAAGTGCAGTTGGATCTTAATATGATCAGCCCCACTCACAGGCAATTTTCATTTTGGCCTTCTCCTCAGTCTCCATTCCCTCCACACCCAACCCTGCCAGGCAGACACAGAGGAGCCCACAGCCCTAGGGAGAAGCGTGGAGGCACAGGGCCATCCATCAGCCGCAGAGGCACTCCTCTCCCTGCACAGGGTTAAGGCTAGGGTTACCAGGACTTGCCAAATGTGGCACTTAAAAGAATTACATTACTAAGCACGCTCCTGTGGGCTACATGACGTGTCTGATGTCAACATCTGCACAGCCCCCAAGAGAAGACCGTGTCCCTGACCATCGCATGGCTGGGGAAACTGAGGCTCAGAAGCTGATTGGCCGTCTGCGGTGACTATGGAAGGACACAGCCAAGGCTCTTTCTATCTCTCCCAACACGCTGGGGGGAGGGTGGGTGTCGCTACTGCTCCTCAGTTTCCTCTAGTGGCCCAGCTGCCGGGGCCCAGGTTCACTCTCATGACCACGTCATTCACGTGGTAGAGCAGGTGCACTAGGCCCTTATGTGGGTCTGCAGCCCTGGCTGCCTCATTCCCTGGGTGCTGTGCACTGGACCCAGTTTTTTCATCTGTTCAGCGGGGACGGGAAACCCTAGCCCACAACCTGGGAGCTTTGGGGAGACAAATGGCCGTGGTGTGGCATGAGCAAGGGCTCCAGGGCTCCAGTCTCTGGGCAGGACAGGGAGCTGTGGGAGGAGCCACACATTTCCACCCCCTCTCCCAGCCTGGCTTCACCTCCAGTGCTCCCACTGCGCGCTGGCCAGGTGAACACAGGCTAATGGGTGCAGGGTTGTGCTGGAAGAAATCAGAGGCTAAGCCCTCAGGAAAGGGCATCAGGAGCCCTCCGGTGAGCGCCCCCTCCTCTCCTCTGCCTGGGTGGCCCCAGCAGTGTGGTTACCCTGGGCCAGTTTAGGAAACCCCAGGGCACCTTTCATCCAGCCACCCACAAACATTCCTTGGGCGGGAAGATCTTGCCCTTGACTGAAGATCCCTTTGGGAGGCGTGGGCTTCCTTCCTGCGCGACCCCATCGCCCCTCTCCCAGTTCCGGGCTGGAGTCCCGATGCTGGCCCTGAAAACGGGCTCTGTCTACTCATCAGAGGCTTCTGGGGTGCTAGGGGTTGGGGTTGGGGGACACCTTGGAAGGAAGGGTGAGGCAGCCCTTGCTGCAGGCTGGGACCCTCAGGGCACCGCAGGCTGAGTTGTCACAGCGCCGCCCACAGCCTTCCTGCAGTGGGCGGCTAATTGTACCCCGGTCACGCGGCCCTCCAGAGCCTGCGCAGCCCCCCACTTCCTCCTGCTTCCCGCTAGGCGTCTCAGCGCTGCTTCCTGCGAAGGGGCCTAGAAAGCTCAGCTCTTCCACCCCAGGAGGCACCGCCTCAGCCAGCCTCGGCCACCTCAGCTGCCCGCCACAGAGGGGGAGGGTGGGGGAGCCCGGGGACCACAGCGATCCCCATGGGCGCTGTCCTTGGATCCCAGGATCCCGTAAATCCTCTAGGTGCCTCAGTTTCCTTATGCGTTTAGAAAAACCCACGGGAAGGCTTTGAGGAATGACTCAGGGTGTGAGGCAATGTCCCCAAGCAGCCACTTGCAGACCTCCCTTCCTTCACCCACCCCCACTCCCTAAGGGACAAAGCTGGGTCTGCCTAGTTCCCTGCAGGCGCAGTGAGGCGTCCAGGGAGTGTAACATCGCGGTCCCCAGGAGGGACAGTGACAGCAGGATGTCTCTCTCTCTCTCACACACACACAAACACACACACACACACTCCTCTTCTGACACTGCCCACTTCCAGCTTTAACACTAAACAAATACCCACTTCCACTCCGGGCTCTGCTCACAGGCTGGAGAAGGCTTTTATAAGGAGAGGCGCGTGACTGCTGCAGGAGCTGGGAAGAGCACCATCACACTGTGTTCCACTCTAATAAATAAACATCAAAGCCACTGCCCTCCTGACCCCTAGCCACAGGAATCGCCTCTAAGCCTGGACTGCAGTAATGCGGATCCTACGGGGGTCTCACAAGGGGCTTCTTCCAGGGGGAGACACAGGGGCCAGGCCAGTTGTAAACTGGTCCCTAGGAAGGGAACATGTAGGTGGAATCACGTATAAGTATAGATTTAAACAAACAGATTGCATCACTATGGAAACGTTCTGCTTTCAAAAGATGCCGTTAAGAAAAATAAAATAATCAAGACTTCAGATTCAACACTACAAGTGTTTATGACCAGAAAAGGCAAAGTGGGTCTTAAGATATTCTGCAGCCAAGAAAAAGCTGCCAGAAGTCAAGAAGAAGTATTCCCAGCAGAGCAGGAACACATCACTTGTCAGGACGCTCTGAAAACCTCCAACAGGAGCATTCCCCATCCTGCGGCCACCTTAACTCTTTCGAGGTGGCCCTGACACAATTTGGGAGCCAGTGCCATCACTGATTGGGGCAGACCTGCCAGAACCAAGGAAGGGCCCAGCAGCCTCAAGGACAGCAGGCAGTGAGGTGGGTGGCTCAGAGTTCAGTGGCTGGGACCCAAATCATCAGCAGAGCTGCTGGCTTCGTCTACCTGGGTCGGAGTTGGACCCTGTTTCCATTCAGGGATTCAATCAGATGCCAGGGGTCACCTCCATGGAGTCCCGAGCTCTGCGGGAAGTGGCCTGCTGTGGAGGGCTGGTTGAAGCCTGACCTGCCTCTCTGACCAGAGCTGTGGTGTTGTTAAGTATAAAGAGCTTCATGCTGAGTTTGGGTGTCATTCAGGGGCCCCGGATACACTCAGCCAAGGAGGACAGAAGGGACTACAGGGGAACCTTTACCTGCCTGTAAAGGAAATGAATCTCCCCAATTAAGTGACCAATCACCAGGCAGCAGCTTTTGACCTGAAGATCTCATGTTGGGTGAGCAGAGATGAAATGCGATACCTGCCCTGACCCACAAGAAAGCAGGTGACACAGAGGTGGTGGCAGGCAGCCGGGCGGGAGCCAGGCCTGAGGAAGTGCGTGTGTTTGAGGGTTCGCCTGTTGTCTGCATTCTGGCTCTCCTGAACCCCCGAGAGACTCTTGTCTTCATCTCTACAGCGGGAAAAGGGTCTTTCTTGGCCTGCTATGGAGAGGATCAGAGATTACGTAGACACGATCCCAAGACAGTGCTTGAAACAAAAAGAAAAAAGCCGCTGAGAACCCTGAAGCTGCTTTTCTTCAGGCTACAGCTGTGTGCCTTCTCTGCTTTCTGTATAGTGTCAGAAACAGCCTCCCCCACTCCAAGGAGCACGGGTTTCTCATGCACTCAGCAACAGGCTGGGCTGACCTGCTGAGCGTAGGCAGGTCATTGCCACCACCTGGCGTTCCTGTCAACTCCTAAACGTGGCAGTTTTCTTCTGGGGCAATCACCTCCTTGTCCCTTCCTTTCAGGAGGACATTATCTCAGCGGTAGAAATAAGCAGCAGTCCACAGTGACAGCAAGAAACACAGGCTAAGATGTGCTGCTCTCCAACCACAGCACCCAGGCGGTGGTAGCCAGACCGTCTGCTGGAGGAGTTTGTTCCCCTGACAGACAGGGGCGTGTGACAAGTGATCAGATGCCAGGCTGCAGTGGAGGACATTGTGACCCTATATGAGAGGGGGGATGCTGAAAGACCCAGGACCATCTGTCTGTTCTTCGAGTTAGTAAAGAATGGAAGAAGAATTTCCCAGGGCTGTGCAACAGACCCCAAACCAGAGCAGGCTGTACCACCCCGGCAGGTTTCATTGGCTTTAATAGGGGATTTGATGTTTATGGGGGTCTATACCTTCTTCCCTGGAAGGTTTGCTGTGATGCTCAGTGTACAAAGTGCTTAGTATATCTCACAGAAAGAAGCTACACACGTTGACAGACACACAGACAGACAGACAGACAGACAGGTCGTGCATGGCGCTTCGGCCCAGCTCCAGCTCTGAGTGGAGCGCCCCACCGCTGGCCATGATCGTGGGGGTCATTGGTCTTACACCACGGAAGGAAAGGATGAAGAGCAAGAGGTCGCCGTGTGTTTGCCGGGCAGAGAGCCGCTCCAACTCCTCTGCCTACTTTCTTCTGTGTAAGTTTACTGTCTTCCTCTGGGGTTTTCCACCTCTTGCTCAGTGTTTACCGGGCACACTGGAAGAGGTCAAGGACACTCAAGCTTCTGTGAGGCAAGAAGGGGCAGCCACGCAGCTCTGTGTTGGGAACTTCGGTGACATCACAGCTAACCTCTGAACCTCGGGGACTGTGCAAGGGAATGCTGAGTCACAAAGAGCCATTGTCACGGGGCTGCAGGCACTGAAGGCGAGGGGACCATGAGCTCGCTCACTCTATTCCTCACTCCCATCTGACTGGCTTTAGGTGACTCAGGTGCTTCCCCAGGGAAACGAATCCCTGTGGAACAGCTGCCACTAACTGGGCATCTGCTGTGCTTCTGCCAGAACCCTCAGCTCCTCCTCCTTCCCTGAGGGACCATACTTTCTGATACGATAGGGACCCAGGTGACTGCCCCAGGGAGCACTGGAGCAGCCTGGCTCCACGCTTCCTATGGATTATTCCCAAGTGTGTCTCTGGAAGACAGCTAAAAACAGTGCTCCCTGAATACACAGCTTTCCATTACAGTAACCACAGGCTACGAAGTGACATTGCCAAGGCAGACTTCAGCAAAGCTCCCGAAGCCACCTCTGTTTGGGTTTCTGCAGCTGTCTGCCTACGGAAGGCTCCAGGGCTGCTGACATGTATTTATATCTGTGCTCCACAGACATCACAAGGACAAACATGTGCAGATTTTTCCCAGAGACAGGGGACCATTGAAATTCCTTCAGATTACAGGGGGAGGGCAAGAGAAAAACAGATTACGGCCCAAATCACCTGAGGACACGGCCACAGTGGTTTTTAATTTACCTGAAGATAAAGCACGATCCTAAGGTGTGCTTGGGAATAACTTCCCACAGTGGACACCTTAGCAGTTGAATTGCCGGGGACTCGCTGGACAGGATGGTGAGCTGGGACGCAAATGCCACCGTCCTCCAAACAGCTGCACAGTGGGGTAAGCTGAGGCAGCTTCCTGAAGTATTTCCCTGCTGAAGGGCAGGCTCAGCCGCTGCCTGCAAAGGCTTCTCCGCGGAGCTGCGTCAGCTGGGCGCCCCTCTGGGGTCCGGATAAATGGTGCGAAAGGTCAGGTTGACTCTGGGTCCCCTGGAGTGGTATTCTCTGGGCACTCGATGCTAAATGGAAATATAAATAACTCTTGGGCATAAACACACATTTCAAATTCAAAGCAATTTACAACTTACTTATGAGGCTATAGAAATGTTTCTATTTTATCCCGGCCTCAGAGGCTGTAAAGCTGTATGGAAAATGTGACCTCCTCCCCAGCTCCCAGCCAAGCCCCCTGCGCTGTGCCAGCACCCTTACAGCAAGACACTTTCTTTTTTCTTTTTTTTTTTTGTCTTTTTATCGGTACCGGGGATCGAACTCAGGACTGCCTGCTTGCAAGGCAGGCGCTTATGCTGCTGAGCTAAATCCCCAGCCCCAAGACACTTTCATCTTTTCTAATTACTGCTCCTCTTCTCAGATTCCTGCCATTTTTCCAATCTCATTTTTAAAAAAAAAATAGAGCAGGCCAAAGAGATTTCACTCTCTTGCTAAGTGTTTATACAGTAACACACGTTAACTTAAAAATGGCCTAGCTCAGCTTCTGGCTACTGGAAGTTACTGAAATTTAATTCGTGAAGTTTATAATGAGGCCCGTTAGCATGCTTGCTACTTTGTAAGTGGTCAATGGTGAATAGGGCTAGTGGCTAGGACAGTGGGCAGCACAGGTACAGAACACGTCCGTCAAGCTCTGCGGGACCGCTGCTGCAGGGGCCCTCTCGGGCATACAGTCCTATCACAGCAGCCACCTTGGAGGTGATGCTTGGAGGTGATGTCCACTGACTGGCTCTTAGCCCTTACTGAGACTTGCTTCTGACCACATTTACTTGCAATGAACCCCCTCAGCCAGCCTCACCTGCCAGTCGGCTTGTGTCGCTCCTTCCATGATTAACAGGGCCCCGTGATCCAAGGGTATCTTCACCCTTTCCACGTAGGTGTAGTCTCCATTCTCTTCCTAGAAAACAGCATTCAGGGAACTGAATGTTTTGCTTTTGATGGCGACAGAACCTGACAGCAGAAAAAGAAGCGAAAGCTACTCCTCCTCAGCCAGACTGTGGGGTCCTGCCTGGCTCTGTCGCTGGGTAGTTGTTTGGCCTGAGGTAGGTGATGTCACTTCTCTTGCTCAGTGGTAACATGGGGATGATAACACCGGTCACTCAAGGCTGCTGTGAGCTCAACTGATGCAGTACGTGTAAACCCTGGGAGTCTGGTGCACAGTGAATACAGCAAGTGCTGGCTTTACCGTTATCATTATCCAAAACACACAGCAGCCTGACCTGGCCAGGGCGGTCGGAAAGTCACTGATAACAGGACCTCTTCCCACTGTCTCCTGTGCACCCTCTGCTTCAGCGCCGTGCGGGGAAAATGCCTCTTAACCAAGACGCGGTGGGGTGAACGCTGCTTACTCTTTTCACATTGGTGTTAGTGCACTACCTGGCACCTATGTTAAAACCAGTCACAGCTCTTCCCAGGACCACTCCGGTGTCTCGGAGACCCACTCTTGTCTCTTTCCTGAACGGAAAACACCAAGACCTTCTCAAAGAGGCATGCTCTGACCTGAGCAGAACAGTGTGGCTCCTGAACAATTAGAGCGTAACATCTTGTATTTACACTGCCCCTTCCTGCTGGGGACTGCAGTGTCAATTTTCGTCCAGTGCTGTCGAGAGTATTCCCAGCACAGGCTGCAAGGCAATCAACAGGTGGAGCCACTCCTGCTTCACAGCTGACAGGGAACAGGGGACGTGAACAACTCCCTTGCTCGACGCAGTGGAGGCACATCAAGGACTGAGAATGGGGGCAGTGCTGACTCCCCGATTTCTTCACCTCCGCTGCACCAGAACTGCCGGGCCCAGCTGTGTACCTCACCTCCGAGGCAGGGTTACGTGAGGTTACTGTGGATGGATTGCAGTACAAGACTGTTCATGTTTATTACTCTGTGGGTGCTTCTAAGAACCTAACTGTTTACAACTGTTTCCCACAGGAAAATCAAAATCAAAACAATACGGAACTTGCATAAACAGTGTCAGTTCCAGGGCCCAACACTTGGCAATGACTTTTCAGGGGCAGTCCTAATTTTACAGGCAGAAGATAGAGGCGATCTTTGAAATAACTTTTGGTTTCAGTGATCCATCGTAATTGTGTCTGTCACCTTTTCGCTTGCAGGAGTATCTGTGAGCAATGGGAGGTGACTCCCCCCAGCTCTGGATGCTCCATTTCATGACAGATGGCAGGGGATGGCTCCCTGAGAAAACCACGCCAGACAGAAGAGATATACGTCCTACTAAAGATACAGAAGGGAACGCAGCGCCCACAAGATTAGAGGGGCCCAGACTCCTTAATTTGGGCTGTGCAGGCATTACTGAGACAAGGGTCAACTTAGCTAGAAGCAGAATTTCTGCTACCCCCCACATAATCAGAGAGGGGAAGACAGCCTGAACATGTAAATTAAGTGCTGACACTTAGGAGAGCAAGGTAAAACACAGGGCAAAGACACCTAACCACAACTTGGAAATAATTCTGAGGTGAAGATCGCTCGGAACATCAAAAGCACCATTAGGAAGGAGGCGCAGTGGAGGAGAAGTGAGCCCTGTAATTCCACTTGGAAACACAAAGCAGGAATGCACCTCAAAGGGGAAAGAGAATCCCAAATGCAAGAGGGAGACGTGGGCGCGGATGGAAACATGAAGTATGGCAGATTCACACTCCACTTAACGCTAGGCTTGGGAGTTTTCAAAGGAGAGGAAGCTTCAGTGGGTTTGAATATGTTACCTCCAACATAACCACCCCTCACACCTGAGAGAAAAGGGAAGCCTTCCCTAGGGAGGGAGCTGCCCTGCCAGGCCATGGAGGAGACGCAGTAGGAAGTGCCCACTTCAGGGGTGACACCTCACTCGAGGTAGGTTCATTATCACCCCTTCCCACACCCCCGGGCAGTCCTCCTTTGCAGGAGGAGATGGACAGGAAAGAGTTCAAGGGAACCTGTCAGTGCAGCAGAGCTCACAAAAGTGACTTTCTTTTTTGAGGCTGAGAGTGGCAACAAAGCGTGGTGCCACCCTTTGACTGGACCTTTTCTACCGAGGATGCAGATGAAAGGCCAGGGACAGGGTAGGGGTGGCGGGGTGTGGAAGCTGGGCTGCAGGAGCCTACGCAGTGGTGGCAGCATCTCAGTCTGTCTAGAGGAGCACATCCACGGTCATTAATGGTTAGGTTACCACAACAGTCCCTTAACAGTTCTCCTTTACTCCAGACTTTCTTCCAAACAAAACACACTCCCAAGAACCATTGCTTAAGAGAGAAATTTTCCATCCCGATACTGGTTAAAAGCAGCGCACAGGATCACAATCATTCTACAAGGTGGGCCCTGTTAGTGATGTTCTTGGTTTTCCACACCCTCGAAACCTAAAAGCAAAAGATCCGTCCTTTCTAATAACTCAGATCACCCTTTCCATCCCTCTTCAGTCACTGCCCGTGCATCTGAACCCTTACTTACACTGCGCCATGGCAAGCTGAGAGGTCTGTGACTCTTAGTCCAACTCACCAAGATGTGATTCCATTCGGTTTCCTTTAGGACAATGGTATTTCAGGAAAAGATCTGGGCATATTTACTATTATATCACTAAACATCCAGTGGAGGACTTTTCCTTTTTATCAGAAGACAATTCACTGTATAAAACTCAGATTTCTCCATGCAGTCACTCCTTTCTTTTGCTGTAACAATGTCTTGGAAATCAAAATCGTTTTAAAATCGTTGATTTAAAATCCTTGTTACAGTTTTTCTTTCAGGAATGCAGAAGCAACACCAGCGGACTAGTATGAGAGGCAGCTGGGGATTACCTGCGCAATGTCTGTCTGCCCACTCTCAGAAACGCCTGGTGGGAAGGGCTGTGTGGTCTTGGGCAAACGCTCAGGACCCACCACACATCAGAAGGGAGTTCACACAACACACAGAACGTTCCACGTGTACAAGCACACGCTCTGTGCTTTAACACATTGTGAACATTTTTCTACGCCTTTGAATGTTATGTAACATCGCTCTGCACAAGTGTGTCCTTCTCTAAACTCACAATTACTCTGTGACCACGACTGAGATGTTAACATATCAGGATTACTTATTTATTTATTTATTGTCCCGGGGATCGAACTCAAGACCTTGTGTTTGCCAGGCAGGCGCTCAAGCCACTGAGCTAAATCACCAGCCCCAGGATTATTTTTTTTAAAAAGGAGAAAAAGATTACTGTGAGTAAATATAAAGCAATATATATATGTATCTAGGATATATTCTTAAAAGTGGAATTCCTGGGCCCAAGGGTCTCAGCTTTAAGGTGCTTGACTTATACTGTCAAACTGCTGTTTTAAGAAAACTGCAGTGATTTATGATTCCATCAGGAAAATATGACTGCACCTATCAATTGTCAGTTGACAATGGGAACAAATGCCAGCTCCGCTGCCGCACTCTCTACCCGTTTCTGCTGTGAGCGACCCCTCTGCTGTGTCCTGTCTCACCGCCGTGTGGGGAGCTAGCATTTTCCTGATTGATCAGTAATCACGGACAGTAAGACATCTGCACTGTGTCGTAAGTTTTACAAACACTTTTCTTGCTTGCCACTTGCCTTTTAACTGAGTTTACGTTATTTAACAGGAGTTCAGAAGTTTCTAGAGTCAACTCCACGGAGCTTTCTTTGGCGCTCCTTCAAGGTTTTTGTGCTTAGAAAGTATTTTCTTACCCTGAGGAAAGTTAAATATACAACTGCATTTCCTCTTTGTTTAAAAAACAAAGCTACACATTTTAGATTTAACTCCTTGGGCTACCTGGAGTTTTTGGTTTGTCACACTTATTTTTTTTTTGGTGGTGCTGGGGACAAGCCCAGGACTTCATGCAAGCTTAGGCAAGTGTTTTACCACTAAAATATCCCCAAACCGCTTTCTTTTTCTAGCAATTTCCAGGTACTTAATCCCAGGCCTCCAGTTAGACTTTTTAGACAGCAGTCACCATGGTGGAGTAGGTAGGTCAAGATCCAGAGACAGGCTGTTGATTTTGGCAAGTCCTCCCTACAGGGAGGAAAGGAGACAGGGCTGCCCACTTTATCACAAGCGAAGCACTTGTTTAGCACAAAGGGCTGGTGGGAGGCAGGGCTGCCGTGTGAACACGACCTACCTGGCTCTAAAGCCCTTCCGATCTGTACTGTGCTCTCTGTAGGAAGCTCTACACCCTCTTCTTCCCCTGCACTACCGCCAGTCCTGATGCCATGGCACCTTGTACACTGTACTGCATGCACCAGCAGCCACCCGGCCCGGCATGGGCACACGGGGAGCTGACCTACACGCACTCCCCCCAACACTACTTATCTTCTGGGATTTCTGAGGAGGCTGGTAAGTGGGGTCATTATGTGGAATCCCCTGAATTATAATTTTGGCAACTAATTCAGTTCCTTTAAAAATACTGTGCAATTCCTCAAAAAATTAAAAATAAAAATTTGACCAAGCTATTCCCGCTCTGGGTATCTTCCTAAAAGAGCTGAGGATGTCACATTACCATGATCCATGGATACCATGTTTATAGCAGCATAACACATAATTGCTAAATCTTGGAAGCTGCCTGTATGTCAATCAACAGACGAATGGATAAGGAAAATGGGCTATGCATACACACTGGAGTACGACTCTGTCATAAAGAAGGACAAACTTGAGTCAACTGTAGGAAAACGGATTTCCTGAGATCACAATGTGGAGTGAAAAAAATCAGCTGCACGTTTATTTATAGCATGGTTTTTCTTATATGAGAAACCTGAAGTATAAATAAGTTAGTGAGCCAAAAAAAAGATAGATCACAGGAAACAGGGAGATAGCGCTTTGGCAAAAGGGAACAGATCCAAGAGATGGGGGAGGGTGGAGAAGGAAAGGGGACATTAAAAGAATCAGGATGTGTTCTGTACGTGGCCCAACTCCCCGTGAGGA